TATATATATATATATATATATATATATATATATATATATATATATATATATATATATATATATTATTTATATATGTATTTTATATATGTATTTTATTTATATATGTATATATATATATGTATAATAACAATGCATAATATAAAAAGAATAGAAATAAGAATTTTTTATTGTTTTGTGTTTTATAAATAAATATAAATATTTTTTATATTAAATTAAAATTTGTGTCTCTTGCTTTGTTAGTGTTTATCTCTATCTTCTTTCTTTTTTTGTCTCCTTTTTAACTGTCTCCTTTTGCTGCTGTCTCCTTTTGCTGCTGTCTCCTTTTCAAGTGCCTCCTTTTTAAGTGTCTCCGTTTGCCGTTGTCTCCTTTTCAAGTGTCTCCTTTTCAACTGTCTCCTTTTTAAGTGTCTCCTTTTCAAGTGTCTCCTTTTTAACTGTCTCCTTTTTAAGTGTCTCCTTTTGCTGCTGTCTCCTTTTGCTGCTGTCTCCTTTTCAAGTGTCTCCTTTTTAACTGTCTCCTTTTTAAGTGTCTCCTTTTGCTGCCGTCTCCGTGTTAACTGTCTCCTTTTGCTGCTGTCTCCTGCTGCTGTCTCCTTTTCAACTGTCTCCATTTTAACTGTATCCTTTTGCTGCTGTCTCCGGTTAAACTGTCTCCTTTTGCTGCTGTCTCCTTTTGTTGTTTTCTCCGTTTTGTTTTAAAGGAGGGAAGAGAGAAGGGACAGAGAAGAGCAAGAGCGAGACGCATGTACTACAACAAACAAAGGAGACACCCAAGTAAGGGTTTAGGGTTTAGGGTTTAGGGTTTAGGGTTTAGGGTTTGTGTGTTACTGCGTGAGTCTTCTGAAGGAGAGGAGATGGTTAGGCTCTAGGGTTTAGGGTTTAGGGTTTAGGGACTTCAGGGTTTTAGGGTTTAAAGTTTAGGGTTTAGGGTTTAGGGTTTAGGGTTTATGGACTTAAGGGTTTTAGGGTTTAGGGTTTAGGGTTTAGGGTTTAGGGTTTAGGGTTTGTGTATTAGGGCGTGAGCCTTCTAAAGGAGAGGAGATGGTTAGGGTTTAGGGTTTAGGGTTTAGGGTTTAGGGACTTCACGGTTCTAGTGTTTAAGGTTTAGGGTTTAGGGTTTAGGGTTTAGGGTTTAGGGTTTGTGTATTAGGGCGTGATTCATCTGAGGGAGAGGAGATGGTTAGGCTCTAGGGTTTAGGGTTTAGGGTTTAGGGACTTCAGGGTTTTAGGGTCTAAGGTTTAGGGTTTAGGGTTGAGGGTTTAGGGTTTAGGGTTTACGGTTTAGGGTTTGTGTATTAGGGCGTGATTCATCTGAGGGAGAGGAGATGGGTGGTGATATGGACGAGGGTTTAGAGAATAAGGAGGGTTTGTCTGTTGACGGAGACAGAGAAGAGAGAGAAGAGACAGAGGAGACAGAAGAAAGAGATTATATATTAACTAAAAAAGAGGAAGAGGA